TGATGGTGTCAGAGCGAATAATAAAGAAAATGTAATTCTTGAGAACAATTTACGGTTTACTGTCATTTATATCTTGATTGTTTAGTAAACAGATAACTGTGTTATTGTACTTCTATATTTTCTTGTAAAATTCCAGTGAACCTATTCATTATTGTTATACCTTTTACCTACTGTATGACTATTCAAAGTAGGATTTCTTTATTTGAGTGCTCTGTAGTTCGATAATTCATGTATATAAGCTAATAAGTGCTAAAAATAAGGTCTAGGTGGTTTAAAGTATCATAATAGAAGTTTGGTTTCTGTCTACTTCTTTCAGGCTCAAGGCTGAGGATAAAAGAAGGCATGTGTATTGCCGGACCAATAAGAACTAAGCTTAAGCTGCCTCAAGGTTATTCGTATAGGTCGTAACATATCATTGGTTAAAGCTAAGGATATAAAATGTAGACGACATAGCATACGCACGGTGTAAAAGAATCATCGGGATTCTGATTAGCGAATTTTGCAAACGATATAGCTTAATGTCTCAAACAATTTCATTGCTAAATGGATGAAATATGGTGAAGTGTTACTAAAAAATATGGTGACTCCCATTGATATAGAATAGTAAATAAGTACATCGAAAAAAACAGTCTATAAGTGGTAAAATCGATTTATTGATTTATCTACTATATATATATATATATATATATATATATATATATATATATATATATATATATATATATATATATATATATATATATATATATATATATATATATATATATATATATATATATATATCATTCATTATTTTATTGAACTGGTTTACATTCGAAATTGTAGAATAGATCCCAGAAAAATTGATATCTATGAAATTGTATGAACGAAGAATATTCTTTTCAATAATTTCTCATCAGGTTCTACAATTATAAATCCAGATTAATAATCCATAAAATTGGCCAGATTTAAGGCAAAATATATCATCATGTGGAAGTGGTCCCATATTGGCAGACATTTTCCTTTCTAAACTAGAAAACGGCCCACTGGCACAAGAGATCGATAAGTTTCCATTGTACTGTCGATATATGGATGATACATTTATCCTTTGTAACGAGCGTACGGACTTGATAAGAACACTCGAGCAATTCAATACAGCTCACCCGTCCATAAAATTCACATGTGAAAAAGAAAATGGGGGTAAAATAGCCTTCCTAGATGTTCTGCTTACAAGGAGAAAAGATGGATCGCTAAAAAGAAACATAAACAGGAAAATGACCTGGACGGGTCAATATACTAACTTTTTCAGTTTCGTTCCTCTACAACAAAAAAGGAACCTTATCAAGACACTACATCATAGAATCAAGACTATATGCACTGTGGATACGATTGAAGATGAAACAAAGAGATTGTTTACAACCCTGAAAGAAAATGGATATCCAGAGAAATTTATAAATAAAAACTTAGCCAATAAAAGACAGCGTAGAGAATGTCCAACAGTAAATAGAAAGCCTCTATATATACGCTTACAATTCAGAGGAGACGCGCCGAGTGAAATGTTAAGACTTAAGTTAAGTAGATCAATTCAAAGGACTTTCAACGCAGCCAAACTACAACTAGTATTCTCCACACGACCAATAATCACTCCGAGGTTGAAAGATAAATTACCTAGACTAGCCACCTCCTTCTGTATCTATCAATTCAACTGCTCCTGTGGAGCAAGTTATATCGGCAGATGTTCTAGGAATTTGTACATTCGGGCTCGTGAGCACCTACCCGTGTGGTTAAGCAAAGGTGTTGTCAAAACTGTTAACAGCTCCATCTTAGACCATTTAGTCCAAACAGGACATACAGCCAACATGGAGCAATCTTTTGCAATAATCTATCGTGTCAACAGCAGTCTACCTAATTCCGTCAGACTGCGAATCCTACAGACGGCTGAAGCAATTGCTATTCGGATCAAAAAGCCAGAGCTTTGTATCCAAAAGAAGTATGTTCAGCCTCTCCTTTTACCCTGGCCAACTAGCTAATAATCAATCTTATAATGTGGTGACATAATCTGATTAATGTTCATTTTATGTCCCAAACTTTATTATTATTATTATTATTATTATTATTATTATTATTATTGTCTTTACACTTGATAAACCCTTTTTGAGGAATTTATTTAATATCCACCCCTGAACCTACTATATTTGACCTGATTATTTTACATATTACGCAATTTCCGATTTGTAATCACAATATTCTCTCGCTCTCTCTCTCTTACCCCATGTTGACCATATTTATTCTGATAATTTATCTCACAATTTCATTTTGCTTATAAACCGTTTCAAGTTAACACTTCATATTAGTCAGCCCCAACATTAACGATTTTATTTTTATATAACAAACAATTCCTGATTCACATATTACCATTTCCAAATGATGATGTATTTTGCCTTAAATCTGGCCAATTTTATGGATTATTAATCTGGATTTATAATTGTAGAACCTGATGAGAAATTATTGAAAAGAATATTCTTCGTTCATACAATTGTGTTTTTAATATAATGGGAATTTTTCATCAATCTATGAAATTGTAAATGCATTCACTTAAATCAAAACAAATCTTGTTTTAAGTTCCAACCTCTTATAATAGGCTACTTTAGATTGCATATTGTGTTGACCGGAGAACTAAATTTTCTTTAAACAAAGGTTATTGAACAATATAAATTCAAATATTAACTTAATTAATTATTTCTTAACACATATACAACGAATATTTTTTAAAATTATTTATTTAAACAAGTAAACATTCGTACAATGAGGCACCAAACAAATATGTGCCACATCCAATTTATATGAGGTCTGGGATACTGCCTAGATGCACAAACCGAAACAGGTGGTTTCTTACCGGGCTACACCCCTAGCCTTCAACTTAAAGGTCTATTCCACAAGGCATTGGAGCAACGTCGGGTGATGCAGTCTCATGATAGCCGGTGATCAACAATAGGTTCATACTCCTCAGGATCCTGGAGCCCATGTACACCATTGATTTGGAATCAGGGCTTTCCAACTACCCCTTTCGTCCTCTCAATCTCGTAAATAACACCCCTGCCGCGAGAAGGCAGTGAATAGGACTTCTCTGTCAGTGGTTGTACACACGTGGACATTTGACAGCATTTCGAGAGGGAAAGCTGACTCTCCCAACTTTCAGTTGTACCAGGGCAATCGGGAGTAAGTTATTTTAAGAGAACATTTTAAATTCTGGTTATTAAACAACATATTTGATGGAAACCCTTTGTTCACAAAAAAACAAATTAACTATCATACAAATATCGCAGTTTATCTCATTTTTTTTCCAAAAAAAAGAAAAACAAACAGAAAGAAAGAAAAAACAATCAATCACAACTGAATAAACTTTGGATGAAATTGTGATTTGTTACATTTTGACAAGTAGATAAATATTTCATTATAAATAACTATAAAAATATTCTTGGCATATCTATAGAACGGAAGATTATTTCCGATTCTTTTTGTGAAAAAATCTATTTTTGGTATCTTACAGTGAAAATTTCAAATACATGTGTGTGTGTGTGTGCATACATATACATTGTGCACATTTGACATTTGATAGATTTTTGATGAAATAGTAATGAACGTAATATATATATATATATATATATATATATATATATATATATATATATATATATATATATATATATATATATATATATATATATATATACTAATCAGAATAAATGCATTTCCTTTGTTGCTTTGAAAGATAAAGTAATAAATATGACCTAGTTTATTTAAAAATGGTGTTGGTAAAGTGATTTTCTCTCAGATATCATGTTTTTCACATTGTTAATGATTAATAGTACAACAAATCCGAGAAAAAAAAGATTTCTACTTTCTTTTCTTTCGATTATTTATAGTAGATGACAACTATCTTATTCAATTCAACGGTGAGCATTTAATCAATTCATCACCTTTTTAGTGATAATCATGTTAACTACTTTAATACTAATAAGTAGCACAGTTAGTTAGTTTAAAGCAATTAGTCCCTTTTATAAATTTCGATAGAACAATGAGAAGACGGAGTTTATCTGAAAAATGTGATGTATTTGCGCTATACATTTCGAACAATCTGGTCACACATATACTTGTCAAGACATTTTTGTATGAAAATTAATAAAGGTCAAACAAATAAAAGTACAATCAAAATAACTAAGGGGAGAGAAAGAATAAGAAATTGTCGGGTTATCTTAGGCCATAGAATGACTTAGGGATTACCAAGGTAAACTCAAGGTTACGACAAATTGTTTTTGTACACATAATGGAGGAGGGGTTTAAATTTACGAATAGCCATGGCTTAAATTTATTGACAATTTCTATACAACGTTCTAAAAGCTGTATTAATGTCAATTTTGTGCCCCGTTTCAATTATATGTTTTGTTATCGATGAACTTGGTTTTCTACCTCCTACACTGATCGGATCATTTGACACACATTGATTTTGAAGCCATCTAGGCACATGTTCATTGACCCTTGATTGGATTATGAAGCGATCTATTTGTTTGACCTTTATTAATTTTCATACAAAAATGTCTTGACAAGTATATGTGTGACCAGATTGTTCGAAATGTATGGCGCAAATACATCACATTTTTCAGATAAACTCCGTCTTCTCATTGTTCTATCGAGATAGTTAGTTTAAATGACTAAAATCTTACAAATAGATGTGGTCCAATATGAAACTAAAAAGACAAATATTATAATTTTATAATTCTTGTACAGCTATATCTAATATAAAAATTTATCACATAAATTACTTGAGTTACAGATGATTATGAAATACAAGTGATTTTTATTACATTTGTAAATCTTCTTTGTTAACTGTTATTTACCGTGATTTTCTCCAATTTACTTCACACTCTCATTTATTTTAGGGATTTTATTCGTTTAGATACAAATTTCGATGAAAATTCTGATTGAAGTAGAGTTGACAGAGTTAATTAAATCAATGATAACTAAGATTTTGATTTCTTTTTTCTAGATTTTGTAACACCTATACGTCGTCCTATTCTTTTCATTTTTGCTGTGACCTCTTCTTCCATTAAATTGAAACACATTGCAAATAAAGATAGACCAAGAGCTACATAGACTGCTAAAGCAATCATCTTTTCTTTTGGATTTTGTGAATCAATCTTTGTACCTGGAAAATAATAAATTTGAACACATTGATAAATGTTATAGGATAAATGAGTAGATAAATAATCAAGATTTAATGTGAAAAAAATATCAATGATGAATAATTTCGACATTATCTCACGATTTTTGACATATCGATGTTAATTTACTCTGTAATTAAGCCTCATACAGAACAAAACGTAATATGTATATATCCTCCTTCTAACAGTCACCAAATGAACTTGATATCATTTAATCCGATTTCTGTAGAGATCTATTCAACTTAATCTCGGATCATTACTCTTCTACGCATATGCTGCAGAACTACTAAATTCAGTGAATCACCCGATATTTTTACATACTAATTTTAGAATACAAAGCTCTCAAGTTTATTGACGGGTATGATTCTTGTCAGATAAGGAGTTGGAATTTAAAGGTTTACCATCCCATACACTGATCAAAAAATATTTTTCAATTCTGATGAATTTCATACTAGCTGACATTCTCAGATAACAGTTGAAAATTACTTAGTCTATGGAGAATTCACTTGACACCCTCAGGAAAATAAAAGAATTGCCAATGACTTGATTTCTATGAATAATAACTATGAAGGGCTCAATTTTTAAGTCTTTGCTATACTGCATCACTTGGGATTGATTCTCTCAGAGAGATGAAGCTTCTATCAGACTTTAAACGTTGTTTACTGATAAGTATCAATCAATACAAAAACGCCGTTCATAATCCTCGGCTAATTATTTAGAAATACGTAACGAGGTGGGCAGCGGTATCAAGTTACTTAATTCAATAGCTAAATAGCAAATCTGATCTGATCATCCCTAAAGACCATACAGTGTGACACTGAATGATATCTCGTTATTTATTACTGTAGTCTTTTATTTGATTGAGGATTCCGTTTACTATATATCGAAATGGAACCTAATATATTTAAACTGGGGATCAAAAATTAATGTTGAGTTATTTAGCGATGCCTAAATTTAAGGTCCGTTACTTACTGATGGGTAACTATTCTGGAAATTTATTTCTAATGTGGTCTTTTCAGTATACATTTGCCATGAGATCTAAACTATTCAGTGCATTACTCATCAATTTGATGAACTCCAAAAACTAGCTCCAATTAGATACCAACGGCATAAATAACAACTCTATAATCTTTTCTCAAAAAGTATCCTTGATTTGGTAGTGTATGGGCAAAACACTTTTCTAAATCAATAGCTCATAGTGTTGAGCACTAGAGACTGATTGTTATATTTCGACAAAACGATTAAAATTTAGTGTTTTGCTGAATTTATTTTATTTATGTGTATTTCCAACATTTTAAATCATTGTGATTTGTCAAGAAATTTTTTGTGTTACATATACTGACAGATATTTTCAAATGGTTGTCCATTTTCAGGTTAGTAGCTGTTTAGCTTAAGGTTATGAAGTAGACATTTGACATGTGGAAATGTGTCCAAGTCGAAGATTCCTAGAAGTTCTGCATAGACGTTATGGACTCTGGAATTAACGTTTCTTAAGGGTTGTAATTGTTATCGAAGACATTGATTTTTTTTGTGTCATATTACAAACTAAATGTTTGTGAAAGAATGAACTAACAGATTGCAACTTACAGAATTAAAGCCAACATGTTCATTTTCAGATCTGAAGTTATTGGTTATTCTCTAGTATGAAAGGGCGTATATTTACTGTCGAAGTGTCTCCAAGTAAATCAGTTAGTTATAATTGGAATACAGCCTGGTACGAATGTGTGTCAGCTCATGTTCCCGCATTGAATCAGCACAAAAAATGAAATTAATAAGCCAAATAACAGGAGGGTTGAAATAATCAAAGGATCATTGATAGTGGCAAGAACTAAAGATAGGAGAATCCAGTTTGAAAAGAAGAGAGGAATCCGAAGAATATGAAGCATCAGAGAATGTTGAGGTTCAAGAAAAGATAGGAAATAAATTTAACTGACTCTTTGTGACTGATTCTGTGTCATTTCATTCAGTATCTATTACCAAAGGTCATGGTTGTTATCTGAACTCAAACGAAATAGTCTCCACCTATCATATGGTGTAGCTCAGTAGTTGAAAACTTGATGAGCTGATGCTGTCTTAGTTTGGATGTCTCTAATTTTCCTCCAACCTGCCTCCATTCCAGAAAGAATTGTATTCGTAGTCGAAAGAAATGGCTGTATAGCGCTTCCTGATTCTCCGGATTATGTGATGAAATACATCTTTGAATTCGACGAATATCAATAAATCATCTGTCTAGTTTATTTAGAACAGTTATCAGCATTATTACATGAAAAGAAAACAAACTAACGGAATAGGCAAATATAATAAACATCTTGCAATGTGATCAAATGTAACGATTCGTTGTTGCATCGAATAAAATGTCATGGGCTGGTGCTGTTGTACCATTTTACGACCATGATACGACAGATCTGAAACAAGTAATAGAATCACATAGATACAAAGCATGGTATTGAACAACCGATGCTCTTCGAAGTAATTTAGTTCGAACAGAGCAAAAGATTTGCTTTACTTCTAAACAGTATAGTTGGATGGTGGGAGTGATTTGGAGCACATGTGTGTTTTTTTGTTGAGTTTTCTGAGCTGGGTGGTTTAATTCCTGAGCTTTCCTAGTCGTTCTGGACGCCGCTGTTAGCTCTTACTTCATGTAGAATTGGACTTTCTAGTTGTTCAACAGGTTTTGAATCAAATTGTTCTGGTAGCCTTGACTATGAGTGGATTTCCTCGTAGATTTCATTGTCTTTAGTTGTTCACGTATTCAAGTCGGTTGTTGTATTCCGTTGACCTTTGATCGGGTTTCTGATTGACTTTTTTCGATTAGTTTGACAGATTGGACTTAATTTAATGTGTCTATTGATTGCTGATCTATTTAAATACCACCATTCCGGAAATTCTCTAACATTCTGAAAATGCCTACGACCCAGAATTTCGACATATCTTCAGTCTTATTCATATGTCTGTATGTAATAATATCAGTTATAGGTAATCATGTACCTTCATTGACGGATTGTGTTCGTGTATGCCTAAGTGAAGAGGTCATCCACTTCTTCTAATGTAGTGTTTCTCATTTTTTGTACAATTTGCTTTGTATAGCAGTTGTGTCATTAGGTCTAGATTAAATGATGTGGATTAACTGCATTGTTTCATGAGAGATATTTATTCCAAAATGTGATTTCTGAGATGTGTTTCACAACCAATGCATAAGATATGATGTAACTTAGAGAAAATAATCTTTACAGAAAATCTAATTATAAATGTAAATATCTTCCTTCCTATAAATTAGATTTGAACTATTTATAATTACTACGAAACACGAAAAATGAAATTGCATGATTCTTAATAATCTTATCAAACCACATGTTCCACATAAAATGAATACCATAATCTAAAGTTGAAACCCACAGTAAAAGAAAGATGAATAATGAGTTGTTTTTTTTAGAACAAATTCCAAATATTGACATTTTACCGAATCAAAGCAAAACAGAATACTAGTGACCTTATCAACAGTAAATTAATTATCATTAGTTCTGAGTAGAATATTTTTACTTATCAGTAAATCAAAGGAATAAATATTAAGGCTACTTCTTTGTAGAATAAAAGTCTGAATAAGTTAATCAAATGAAAAATTCAATCACTGAACTATTATTTCATAAAATATTTTCGGATTGAGATCATGAACTGGTTGATGTTAGACCACCGTTGGAAACCTTGAAACACTAGACGGCCGTTTCGTCCCATCATGGGACTCCTCAGCAGTGCCCACGCACGATTCCGCTCGTGGGATTCAAACCCGGGGCCTTCAGTTTCGCGCGCGAACGCTTAACCTACTGGACCACTGGGCCGGCATCCAATGATGCAAATGTCTAACATCAACCGATCCGCGAAATCGCACGACCACCTTACATTGTACTGAGGTAGATACCTGTCTCTACCCTACAAAAATTAGCTCCATTGGTCATGACTTCTCAATACGACTATGAAAATTTCTTCACAAATTCCAAATATTGACATTTTACCGAATCAAAGCAAAACAGAATACTAGTGACCTTATCAACAGTAAATTAATTATCATTATTTCTAAATAGAACTTTTCTTATGAAAAGATTTCTAATTGGCAGTAAATCAGATGAATAAATACTAAAGTTACTTCTTTCTCTTAAAAAAATAACCAAATCTTTCGATTACTTCTTTGTAGAATATAATCCTGAATAAGTTAATCAAATGAAAAGTTGAATCACTGAATTATTATTCCATAAAATATTGTTATTTAATCACTATGGATGTTCACTTGAATTTTTATTATAAAATTAAATTTGGACATAGTTATTTTAATATGATCCATATTAGTCGTTTATTTATCGATTAAAGCATCAAATGAGTACAACATATTCAGGAAGAAAAACCTCGCATATTATGGATATACAGAGGGAGAGAGTGAGGAATAGGTGCGAATCAATCAAACAGAAAACTGTCAGACAATCATCAATAACTGTAGAAATCTATTTATTTATTTATTTATTTGAACACATAAATACTGGTACAAGGGGGCACTAAATACATATGCGCCACACAAATCTCATTTGATTTGTGTGAAGGCTGTGATACTGCCCCCGGGTGCCCAAATCGAAGCAGGTGGTTTTATTAGCGGGCTATACCCCGAACCTTTGACCTAGAGGTTTGACCCACAAGGCAGCGGAGCATCGTAAGAAGATTCAGTCCCGTGGTAGCCGGTGACCAACGATTGGTTCATACTCCATTCGTTCCTTCAGAATACTGGAACCCATATGCATCTTTGGCTTGGAATCAGGGTTTTCCAATTCCCGTAGGTGGGCTCTTTATGTCCACCAACCCGGTCAAAGCGCCAGACACTCACTTTTCGTCCTCACGATTGTGTAAACAACACCCCCGCCTTGAGAAGACAGTGAGTAGGACTTCCCTGACAGAGGCTATATACGCGTGGCCATGTGAGAGCATTTCGAGAGGGAGAGCGGACTTCGCACTCTTGGTCGTACCAGGGCATTTAGGGGCAATAACTGTGGATATGTGATGTATGTTATAACGTATCAACTTCCTAAAGAGCATAATCCGTAGAATTTTTAATTAAGGATTTTAAATATACTAATGAGAAGTTATCATTAATCCGTTACTCTTTATGCTTCCTTATTTAATTCCAGGTAAATTTACGGGATGGTACATTTTTATTTTTGAGTAAAGAAAAATCACTTACTCTGATAGTTTATTTTCGTACTATTAAAATTGAAAAATATTCCATGAGAAAACAGATCCACATCTATTTACTCCTACTTTAACTGTGATCTGTTTTAATTATTAATGCATTTCTTAGGTATAGAAAACCTTTAAAAAGTAATTCAAGAGAAAAATCCCTTTCAACGAACTGAAAGGAGATGAAGTGTTATTTATTAGTTTTTTCCTTCACAGATGGTGATCAGTTAATTTCAGATATATCTTTTAGTTTTGAATAAAAATACACTTTTTATAGTGAAGAAAACTATTGCATATATTTATAATGATATGATGTGATTTAGAATTAAGAAGTATTCAGTACCTTTTATTCCAACAAGCTTTAAGAGTGTCTAGTATATTGTAGCCATGGTAATTAATTAGTATACAGTTGAATTTATGAGTCGATCTAATTTATACCACCATGGGAAACATTGGAGCGCTGGATGGCCGTTTCGTTCTAGTATGTAATCCCTCAATAATGCACATCCACTATCCCACACACTGGACTCAAATCACATGCTCACTAGTGACTGGTTTCAAGATAGATTTCTTGAAGTTCTAGTGAGGAACCGTGATCAGTGGAGTTCAATCTGTGTTGGATGGAAACAGTTATCCACTTCAGACAATGGATGGAGGGCTGGGTAAGATCACTGATTAATTGACGTTAGACATTAACACCGTTGGATGCCGACTCAGTGGTCTACAGGTTAAGTGTTTGCGCGAGAGACCGAAGGTCCCGGGTTCAGATCTCGTGTTCGAGATCATGAATGTGCACTACTGAGGAGTATGGTACTGGGACGATGCGGTGCTTCAATGTTTTCAGTGGTGGTCCCATGAATTCAACTACTAAAATTGCTACAACTGCCTCAAAGCTCCATTCTGAAAATTATACAGTAGTGTAATAAAATTTTCGAGTATTGATTTATTAGTTAAACAACCATTAGTTTTCTGAAAATTACAGAGACTAATAAAATACAGATTTACTTGTAATTTGTTTTTTTGTTTCTGATGTATATTTAAGAGAAATATCACATTTGTTATAACTACTAAGATGAAGTCGCTCTCTCTCTTAACTAAGTTTTGGGAATAATGTTTTCCCCAAGAACTATTCCATATGATTTTTGTGTATTTTTAACTTATGGAGACATGAAGTTTCAAGATAATAAAAGAAAATCACTAACTGCTTGACTAACTAAACACTTAAATATTTTCAGTCCTATATTTGATCAAGTTTAACCTTAACGAATAATGATGGAAATTTGTAATTCTAATCATGGTAATGTCATTTTCTAAAATGAAAAAAATACAAAAACTATCAAGTAAGAAATATTCAGTGTATAGTGAAAGAGATAAATAGTAAATGTATTGGAATCAAAAGATGTTAGTAGGCGAAATAAATTATCGAATCTGTCGTTTTAGGTTTGATATACAGAAGTAATATGGATTTTGTATAATTTTACAAGCATTTCTCTCAGATAAATTGATCCAAATAATTCATTTATCAACTATATTTTATATCCAAAGTACGTAGATGTGACAATTTTCAGTTCACTTATACTTGTCTACTCATTATTGTTAAACTACATTAATGACCTAGAAGATGAATTGTTCACCATGAATCATAAAGAACTTCTGTTTCTACAATTGTCGAGGCCATGAGTACACACTCTAGAAGAATGATACTAGAACCAAACAGCTATTGATTATTGTTTAGTATTCAATACCAGTATCGGTCAGTAATATAAAACACAAATTGATGGATATCTCCATACTACGACTACTAATACCACTACTAAAAATAGTAGTGTGGTGTGTGCTACTGATGTCGACCGATATTTATAGTATGTATCACCAATCGAAAGTGGAATGTCTAGCGGCAGAAGCTTGAGAAAAAAAGAACGAGAACAGAGATTGGTTGGTATGGAAACGAAGGAACAACAAAGTCTGAGACAATCGAAGGATATTTTGCAAATGAAGTATTCTCTGTATGATTTTCAGATTCTTCCGAGATATTCTGTAGTGTTGTATTAAGACAATTAATTGTCCCGGCCTGTGTTCACGTTGTATGACTTTTAGGCCTTCATTCCAATTATATTTTAATAATACTAATAATCTATCAATAATGACCATATAAATTTTGCTTACCTGGTACAATATCACCAAATCCAATTGTTGATAATGTTACAAAACAAAAATATGACCATTTTAAATAATCTGTTGATTCCCATAAACAAAATACAGTAGCGCCTAATAATATATAAACAGTCATCATAAGTATAGTTAATGATATTGGAACTGTTTTTAATGTTTCATTTGATGATTTATTCGATTCATTTGTTGCAGAATGACCTATATCTAAATCATTTTGTCGTTTTTGTTGTTGTTTTAATTGATGGTCTATATTTATCACGTTCATTGATGAAAGCAATTCAAGGTTATTCGAAGTATTTATTGATTCATTGAATGATTGATCATTGATTGAACGAGTTGTATTTAAATAATAGTTTGACAAGTCAAAACTTTCCAGTGGTGTATGTTGTTGTTGTTGTTGTTGTAAATATGGACTTAGTGAGTATATATCATTTATGTTAAATCTTTGGGTTGAATAATTTTTTGTATTTATATAAGGAGTTGTATATGGTATAGTTTCCATTAAATAATCTGGTTTATATGATGATAATCTTGATGAAGAAGTTTGGGATTGTTTATCACTCCATGCTAAATTTGATCGTTCAATATTTTTTAAATTCAAATGATCATTAGGATTGTAATTAGCATAGCTATGACTATGATAAGTATGATATAAATGGTTATTACTGTTATCACTACTAATTCTACTACTATTAGAATGATTTTGAGTAGTATTAGTTTGTGTTCTTTTATATCTTTTATATTTTATTGGATTTGATGTTGATAATCTTGAATTCTTTCTTTCATAGATTAAAATATCATTGTTTTTTGATAATTTTAATTGTTGAGTAACTTTTCTATGAGTTAATTGATTCAAACACTTTTTGATACACTTTTTAAACTGTATAAATGCTGGTTGACAAATACGTATATAGAAAACTTGAAATAATGATGCCATATAATTACCACTATTTGAAAGATAACAAAAAAATAATGGTATACCAAATACAGCATACATCATTGTAAGAAATTTACCTAATCGTGTATGAGGTGTTACATGTCCATAGCCTAGAATTAAAAATTTGAAAAAAAGAAGATAATTTAATAACGAGAAGACAATTATGGTTGTTGGTGATACCATATATAGGATAATGTAAGCTAATCTGATATGAATTACTGATTAGCTTTAAAACAGCAGATGTCTTTCTTTAATTCTGAATCAGATACTGTGATTTTCAAGCTTAGTAAAATCAAGATTTCTGTGGAATAGTCTACAGGTGATTTCAGTCATTTAGCAACAATGTAGAACATCGTACGTACGTACATCAGTTCGAGTTATCATAACACATTAGCACACACATACAATTGTCCATTCAAATCTCATTGTGGTAGAGGTAGTAAGAGTATAATCAGTAAACAGGAAGAATAAGGTTAGAAGATGTTATTCAGAGAGTATAATCCAGTGAAATAAATTTGGAAAGAGAAAAAAGAAAGGAATATAAAGAATTCGGAAGATTAGAATTTGGGAGAACAAAGAGAGTGGATGCACATGCACCATTGCAAACGATTTTGAGCCATGTCATTCAAGTTCTCTAACCATCGGTTGCTATCATCTCGCGAATCCCAACCACGTGGTCTACACCTAACAACGTGATTCAGTCCACTTGTTAGTGACTTCATGGATTTGTGCTATGTTTTGGTCTGACCGCCCCTAGCTTTCTTCCAACCTACACCATTGAACATGGCACGTCGAGGCAGTCGGTGGTTGGGCATACGTAACACGTGTCCGAGCCATCTCAACTGATGAAGTTTCACTACTTAAACAATTGATTTGCCATCTTTACCTAGTATCCGTTTCCTAACAACTGCATTACTTACTCGATGGTCCCAGGATATATGAGCAATGCTTCGAAGACACCTATAGGTGATTTAATCATTATCAAACCACCCAGAGGATAAAACGGTGTCAAAATCACTGACCTCGACCATAAAGACTTTCCATCATATCGAAAACTGTTGGCGAGTAGCTATCTATTAAGTTGAAAGATATTTTGAATATTATGAGAGTTTTTCACAGTAAAAAAATTTAAATCAATGGGTTTTGAAACGATCACTTAGCGTCTACTTCATAGATTTAGGATACTTGATTATTTAAAGAATGAGATCCAGTGTATCTAACATAGTGAAATTGTTTATACTTTGATTATATATCGATTCGGGAGAAAAAGGAGATAGTTTCGTTTTATTGATGCTTAAAGAAAGGTAATAAATTTTAGAAAAAGTTAGTTTAATGTTATGGAAGTGTTTTACCTTTTGATTAAAATAATACTCTAAGTTTTTTCCTTTATCCCTTGAAATAGTGGAAAGTTTATTCAACACAGAAATTAGCATCTGTGATATCAAATTGAATACAGAGTTTAGTCAGAAAGGAAAAGTGAAGAAGTATTTTTTTCCAACTAATTTTCCATTATGGCTTTTCACTAATAATAAGTCGTTCAGGTGAGTGTTACATAATAGTATTGCAAGTTTCCAAATGATAATGAAGATAATGTCAAATGTTTAATCACTTAGTTATAGTTAGATGGAGGATCAGTTGAATATAATAATGGAAGTAGTTATTTGTTGATATGCAGTTCAGTGGTTCAAAACATAAAAATCTAGTGGAATAATTAACAAAGTATTTTGATGATAACATGTCAAATATTGATTATTATTACGTAAGACTATGGTGATTGGTATAAAAACTTTACAAAAACATAAAAATAAAAGGGATTCAGAATAACCAGGAATAAACATTCTGTTTTAAGTCATACTGGTTTACCTCATATCCATGGTCAGAAGTGAAAGAAGAGTTAAATAAATTTATTCTGGATACAATGGTTCAGCTTATACATATGGATTTCTATAGTTTCGGTAGTTTAGAAAAAAAAACAACTTATAAACTATACGGTAAATTTCATGGGGTAAGGTGAATGATTTATTTAAGCTAAATCCAAGTTTTCTTGATTTCTTATGTCAATCATGTGAAGAAGAACAACAAAGTTCATAAACATCTCACATTGTTATTTTGTTCAACCAGTCCAGATGATGTTTGGAGATATGACAGAAAAAAGTGATTTGTGATAATAAAAGAAACCGATATCTTAAAAGCGAATAATTTTTGTTTGAATTTTTTCTCCGAACATGACATTTTGTAGTTAATTTTGTATTAGGTCAAGGCACTTTATTAGTACTACCTTCATAAAAAATGTATAGTAAGAATGGGTTGATAGGACTAGTATTATTACAAGTATTCAGTGAATATGTTAAAGCACAAACGTGAAACCAAGAAAAGAAAAATAGCAAAAAGTTTCTATCCAAAAGATGCCCCAGAAAAACATTAGGCTAGTTAAAATCTTGAAGGTAAATTCGTAAAAAGCAAAAACCATATTTTCTGGAAGTTTATGATTAACTTTTCCACGCTAAATATTTATTCAGTAGAATAGTTAATGGATATAGTGTGTAATGTACAGTAAAAAAGTATGTAAATGCTTTCATACTATCCTATAGTACGGAAGGATACCAGAAAAAAAATGCAACTCATCAAGATTACAAATACTGTATTTATTACTTGTGTGGTGCGTGCTACTTATATTGATATAAGTAGTATATAATGCGAGTCAGGAATGTAATGTCTGACAATAGAAGATGGGGAAGATCAAGAAAGAAAGAGCGGGGATAGAAAGAAGTTAGTATGGAAATGCAAGAGCAACGAAGTTCGAGACAATTATTGAACATTTTGTAAATTAAGTATTATCGTATGATTTTTCTATTTTACCAAGTATCAAATTAAGCTGTTAAGCATTCCTTTGAATATGATTATGATATTTGTAAGTGACTTATGAGGGAGGAACTTTACGTAATACTCGGATGTTCAGACAGATTTATTAGTTATTAATTAACTTTCTTTTCTATTGTATGTCATGTATGTTATTCATGAAGACTATAAATTTCTCAAATATTGGTATAATATTATTTTAGAATATCCTGATAAGTTCGTAGATATTAGATCATTTTCTAACACAATTGCCGACTAATGTTTGTTTAAGTTTTCGTAGGTTAACTATCCTAATGTTATATATTTTATAATAAGCTGACAAATGCCTATTTCATTAGATAACTTATCTTTCTTTCTGTCCAGTTTACGTTAACAAAATTAAAAGAGTAGTTTTGGTTTATAAGCAATTATATTTGTAAGCCAAATTGTTTAAGAATCCCAAGTGCTACTAATATATGCATGAAAAATGGAATTGAACACCACTGAATGATAGCATTTCAGATTTGATTTACAGCAGATATTCTGTTCACTCCGAGGGTCATTAGTTAAATGATATTGGACATATTGACTTTTAATGCCACGTGTTACATATGCCTGAACACCGATTACCACGACGTGCAATGCTGACTAGTGTGGGAGACGGTTGGAAGAAAGTTAGGGGAGGCCAAACCAAAACGTACCATCAGTCCCTGAAGTTACTAACTTCCAGTCTGAGCCATATTGGTAGATGCACACTACTTGGTTGGGGTCCGTATGACTATTCTAACCGGTGGTTGGAGATTGTTGGTGACATGGCTCAGAATTGATCACAATGGCGTACGTGTATACACTCACTGTCTTTATTTAAACTATGAGATTAAAATCGCTTGATATCTTTCTTTCTATGAACTAATTCTTTCTTTCTGTACTATATCCTTATGCACGATCTTTGTTTTATATATTACTATCATTGAAGTAACTTATTCTATGGATTCGGTGTTCATCTTGTTGTATTAATGAGGTATAGCAACTTGGACCGATGCATAAATGTGCCTGGTCCTACGCTGTAGCTAACTGACTGACTGGAGTGAACATTAAATACTGTAATAGGGTCGTTTTAAGTGAGTAATGAATTGTACAAGAAACAACTAAGAATAAAAAGCCCAAAGCTGACAAAAATGGTTCATTACAATTATTTTCAAACAATTTGAAGGTTAAATAGTGCCTTTAGTCCAAGTGTTATTATTCTGTTTAAAGAAATTAGTCGTTTTTGTACCCCTAGTCACCCACAGAGTTGTAAACAAAGTGAAAATATTTTTAACAATTTTGATTTAAATGCTGAAGTTATAAAGACAAACGTTCTTAGTAATAATCAATTAACAAAACTAATAGATCATTGAATAGTAACCGTTGCTTTATTGTCTAATCCTTTGAAATGATTAAATTGTAATCCAGACACAAAAGCTAAGTAATTCGATATTTTAGTACACAACAAAATTAGTAGTCAGGATATTTCATACTTAGAATACTATGCTGTCAGTCATTTGATATTTTGCAATGTCCAGAAATTATAAAATCCTTCTGTTCTGAATTAAATTTCTTGAATTTATGTGTTTATCTATAATTTATAAACTAGAGGATGCAAACTAACTATTCGTGACCTAAAGTATCTTTATTTAAAAAAATATAGATAGTTAATATAACAGAATTCAAGAAGTAGGCTGTACCCGCCCCCGAGTAACGCTTGAACTCTTAACCTGTTATTCTGATTAATATATCTTAAAAATTCTGTTATGTCTAATAATCATACTGACATTATATCGTAGTGGACTATAAGATATAAGATATAAACACTTATACATTAAATCATTTCAATATAATTAAGGTTTCTAACAAGTAGTTAATGGCGGGAATTGGGAGAATATTTGAATTATAGGCTTGATCGTGATCAATAGCCTATAATTCTATGAAATTAATTTTCAGTAACTAGTCAAAATGACTGTCAACGTAGTTAGTTGCTAAGTTCAAAAGCCGAAATATTGAATAACTTAACTCAATAATAAAAGCTAAACTGCGTGCAGTAGACCTATACCACTTCTCATTTATAAACTGTTCTTAATTCAAAATGTGTGCTAAAAGCGAGTTGCACATTATTTCGATTATTACTATTATTATTACTATTATTATTATCTCTATTAGCTCTATTAAATAATATATTTTTGGTACAATATAGAATTCTCAGCACAAAGTACCTCAACAAGTTTCTGTTTCT